GGAGGGGGGGACACGAGGTTGGGAGGAGGGTTAGGAGGAAGAAGAAAAAAATCCTTCTGGTCCTATCTGGCCATCAGTTGGTGCTCTGGAGTATAAGATTAAATCAGAATGTTCTCAGAGTGCAGTGGCAACAAAGACGTAGTTCTGGATGCCCCTTTATAAGCCTTTTCTTCACCATCAAGCAAGAAGACCAGGGGAGGCACAGCCATGGCTCTCTGGAAACTACAATTCCACAGGAGGAGCTGAGGGGTGGGACAAGGCAAAAACCAAGAAAATACAAATCCTCCTTACATTAACTACAACTGTATCACACTGTCTGTCTGCTTTGCAACGTAAATACACACCACTCAAGTAACCTGCCTCATCCACAAATGGCTGAGTCAGTAAGCCAGTTTGGCCCACGTCTCATCTGGAGAATCTGGTAACTGAAAAGTTCATGGCTAGCTAAACCTTCTCTCAGTTTCCTCCACACAGAAGCTGATTACTGCTGTTGCGTAAAAAGATGAGGAACTGCCTAATTTCATGGCATTGCTACCTCTCTAAGTTGGCGAAAGCAAAGCAGCTGGGGTGGAATGACTTTGCAGGGCAGTGCTGGGATAAGGGAGAGCCCTTTTTGGGGCAGAGGTGGGACACTCCCAGGCACACCACGAAACAGGGTCTCTGCAGGCAGGACTGACTGACAGCAAACAAGTTCACTACCGCCTGACTCCAGAAAGCAAGTGTCCTGAAATCATCTCATCTATTTGCCCCCACATTGTCTTTGGAGTGACTCCCCTGAAGTAGGACTCACATTACTGGGAACCATTCACCCTGAGCCAGGATTACAGCAAAATGTGGCCTTCCTGTGAGGACAAAACTTTGCTAAGGAAGAGTGGCAAGCAGTCTGCACATATTCCTAGTCCCATATTCACACTGTCCCCATTTAAGGATGCAGGAACCAATGCATTTCTTATTTACTAGATGAATATTGATTCTCTTTTTTCTCATTAATGCCTGTTCTGTGCCAGGCTCTGGCTGGAACAAGACCTGCATCCGACTGCACATGCACCAAATGAGCATTCTGAAATGGTTTTCATTACTTAAATAAAATTACCATAATGAATCCTAAGCAAGAAAGAAAAGGGGGGGGGGGGGGGGGGGGGGGGAAACTATGTTT